TATCTGATGATCTAGATATGTTTTGTCAATCTGTTAGCATGTTTAGGTCGTATTTATATTTTAATATATGTGCCCTTCAAGTGGGTACCTTTCTAATGCTTTTAGAAGTTAGTCTAGCATCTTCTATTATATTGTACTTATTGAAAAATTTGAATGTCATTCGTCATAAGTAGCTGCTATTAGAGTAAGGAAATACTTTAAATTTGATGTTGATAATAGAATATTCTCTTTTAAAGTTGACATTGTGTCAAAACTAAAATATTCAAATATAATATCTGATTGGGTAATGAGTGTAAAGTTTTCATTGTATTATAGAAAGTCATAACTTTCTTTTGTATCAAATCTATTTTGAGAATCTAGTTAGGATCAATATTGTATGTGTATGAATTTTAATTTTATTTCAACATTTCTCTTATTAAGAATACATCTATGCAACATTTGTGGTGATAGATATCCTTGCTTTGAAATATCTGCAGTCAATGTAGACAAACCTCCATTATTAGTGTCTCAGATCAAAGATCGAGTGAAACACTTTGAAAAAGTTGGTGAGGTTGATTTTTGCTCTCTCTTATTCTGCATTAAAAATGCATCGTCTTAACTTCTAAGTACTCAACTTTGTTAAATATAATTTTTTCTACTAATTTATGAAGGGAAATCTGCTTCCATTTTTCTATCCAACAATAGGTTCTTACTTGTTTGTTTGCATGGTGAATACTGTATGGGATTCACATGTTGTGTCTAAGTTTGTTAGGATAAGCTCATATGTCAATGTGAAACTTAGGTATTTAATATTGTTTTGAGTATATAGTTTGTTATTGTTTAATGGACCATCTAAAGAGTAAATAGTTTTTCTACTTCTATGGCAAGAAAGATAGAAATTATATCCAATCAACCTTATTTTTATAAGAAGGCTAGACTTTTTCTAGGCAGTGCTTTTGTAATTAGTGCTGATACAACAATGAGGCTTATTAATGTATGTAATTACTTATTGCTTGGATCAATTTTAAATGGTTTTTATTTACCATGTCATGTCCTGCACTTTGTTATAACTTCAGCACTTTGTATGTAGTTACTCTTAAGCATACTGAATATCCTTATGGAAATATTATAACTTCAACAGTAAACATAATTATATTTATGTAAAATTCAAAGAGTAAAAAAAAAAAAGAAAAATAAGAAAATCAGAAGAAACCGAAAATGTCTCATTCTTTGTTTTACATTTATACTGCTTTAAAGTGGATGTCAAACTACTAAGTCTGAAAGGTATAGAACTCATTTAATCAATACACTTAGTTTGCATTTTCTTTACAGTTAAGAATATGTGTACTTAGTTGTTGGTTCAATAGATCTTATTGACTATCATCTTCAAATTCTTGCATCTTACTCTTGCAGCCTAAATACTACAATAGGGACTACAACAAGATGCTGAAGATATTTATTGGCTGTAAAGAAATAGGATGTACTTTTCTTGTGGGTGGTCGGAATGTAGACAACATTTTCAAGGTACCGCTACAAAAAAGATAGAGTGATTATAATTTGATATTCTTCTCTTTCAAGTGAGGCCATTGTGTGGTGTTACAAGTTCTTAACGATATTTATGTTCCAGAGGAACTAAAAGACATGTTTGTCTCCATTCTAGTTGAACAATTCCGCATGGATATATCCTCCACTGAACTAAGAAAAAGAAGTAGAATGTAAATAATTTTATTTTTCAGCCAAGGCGAGTATGTATCGAGGATGAAATCACTTTCATCATTCCATGAAGCACCAAAATTTTTAAAGAGGCTAATCCTCTATTGTTTGATTAGATGAATCAAGCCATTGTTGCAGATCTGAATGAAGGGCCAACTCTACCACCTTTATCAACTCTACAAAGTCAATCAACTAGATCTAAATGAAGACTGTAGTTTTTGGAAACCATTTTGGGAGGAGAAATAGTACTTTATGTTATATTATATTAGGAGTAATGTAACTTTATTTTAAACAATGTGCAGCAAATACTTTAAGTTAGTATTTATTGCGATTACAATACTCGCAATGGTAATGAAAAACCAAAGCACACTCACTAAACATCCTAAAATCTTCACCATATTCCTCTCAACAGCAATCTGTTTCTTTTTATAGAATATTTTAAGCTTCATTAATGCAAGTCATTGATGGAGATCATGACATTCTTCTTGAAGTCTCACCATCTCTTCTTTGATTTTTACCATTTTCTTTTCAGTTGTTTTTTTAACCTTTATTAAATCACTAATATTTGTCTTCAACTCTTGAATTGTATGGATTTCTTTCGACATAACAGACTTATTGTCCCATCTACGGGCTCTTTAACCCAATGAAAATAATTGCAAGAATTAAGTTCCTACAAACCAAATACAAACAAAATTGTAAACACAATCACAAATCCAGAACAAATACGACCAGTTGAACTTACATTCCAACCAGAGTATCTCCAAAATCTTCTACTAAGATTATCTTTGCTCTGTGAGGTCAAAATTATAGCGGACTTTTTACATTTGCAAGTTACAGCTCGTGGATTAGATGAGCACGATAAACCATCCACACTACTCATTTTATCAAGACGAAGAATCAAAACGAAACCGCAGATGGATAACAACAACACACGATAGAGAACCCTAACCTTCTTTTTCCTTTTTCACTTCTTCTTCCTTTCGAGTTCATCTTCAGCGTCTTCATTCTGTACTTCTTCTTCAATTAGGGTTTTAGATTTGGCCCTCTTTCCCTCTTCAGGGTCTTCATTCTGTGCTTCTTCCTCAATTAGGGTTTTAGATTTGGCCATCTTTCCCTCACATCACCCAAAATGCAACTTTTAGGTTAAAATTCAAAAATGCTGATGTGAAATCCTGACGTGATAGTTTAATGGTGAGGTAGATGAGAAAGATCGACGGTAACATAACAAACTATTAATCGCGTCACTATTTAATTGACGAAAGTTAACATCAGGTATAAAATTGAAAAAAAATTAACTAAGTATTAAAATAAAAAAATTTAAGGTAATTTTTTGAAATTAGTCTTATTTAGAAATAGTTAAAAAATATTTAAACCTTTATTTTTAATAAAAAGGATCAAAACAAAGAATTATTATTAATCGCATTAATTTTTGTCATTGCTCAAATATGCATTATTTTAATAAATGTATTGATTTAATATATTAAATACTACATGGATAACATATGTGTCAATTTAATAATAACATTTTTCTTAAATTTTCAATTTTTTCTTCTTCTCAAGCTAGTTTATCAATTTCTACATGAAAAAAAAAAGCATTTAAACTCCAAGGACCGAAGATCGAGGTGAATTTAATATGGTTGCGTTGGAGACAGACTTTTGGGGATGAATTGATTTTTGAAAACAAGTTGAAATGAGTGAAGATGATAAGGAGAAGTGATGACGAAGAAGAAAAAAATATTTTTTTTTAGAATTTATTTGATAAAGTGTTAATTATTAATAAAATTATTTTGAAAAATATTTATTATATTTTTATAATTTTAATATAATAAATACGTAAACCTTTAAAAAAATTGATTATACATCTGAATTAGATTAATAATTTTTTAATATATATTGTTAATATTATTCTAAATTTATTTTTAATAAAATATTTATGTTTAATAAAAAAAAAATATTTAGAATAATTGAAATTCTAAGTTGGTTTGTCATAAAAATTATGTATGCAAATTGATTATCAAATTCCTTATAAAAGTTTTATTATGCACACTCAATTAGGGGTGACAATGGGACTGAACCCGTAAGAACCTATTCGACTTTGATCCGAGCTTTTCCTAATTAATCTCATCGGATTTGGATTCGGATTCGAGCTTGGGTTTGGGAGTTTTGATACACACACCCAAACCTGCCCTATCTCTTATGTCTATGTGTGTTTAATTTAAGTTTCGTTAAATTACATGTAAATAAAAAAAAAAACTATTATTTAAAATTTATTATTTAACTATTTTTTTGTATTTATTAATATAAGGGAAATCGGAGCAGAGTTGAGTTTTTCCTTTTTTAAGTCGATAAAGATTGGAGCGGGTCGAATTTGGATGTAAAAGTTAGGTTTGAGTATGAGAAAGGGCAAACCTGCCCCAATACAAACACTACATTTAATATACACATCAATTTATAAGAAGCCTCATTCCAAATCATGTAGATAAATTATTTTATCAAAATTTTATTAGGGTGCAATTGTGCAAACTATCTTGTCTTTAAGTTTGTGTTTGAGAAAGATCATTTTTTAATTATTTGAAAAAGTATGTAAAATAAATTGTTCACTTTCATTTGGCAATGACAAAAATAAATTATCCAGTAAATTTATATTAAAAAAAGTTATTTATGATATGAAAATTTTGAAACATATGATTAAAGGTCATCAACTTTTTTCCTACTTAACTTTTATTTTCTTTTTTCATTTTATCCTTAATATTTAATTATTTTAAATACAAAACTATTCATTGCACATAATTTTATGTCATTTTACCTTAAAAAGTGATTATTTCTACAATCTAAATACAATAAAGAAAATATTTTAAATATAAGTATATAAATGAGCCAAATTACTTGTAAAATATTTAAGTTCAGCCGATTAAATATTCAATTAAGTTTATTTATTTAAAATTAAGTTTAACTATTTAAACGTGATAAATTCAATCTTTGTAAGTTTGATATTAGTAACATGTGAAAAAATTCACATATGCACATAATTATAATTTTATTTATTATATTTACTTAAAATTTATAATTTTTGTTGTTATTATGTTTTATACTGCACACACAATGAAGGAGAGAGATAATAATACTAACTAATTTTAATTTAAGAGTTATATTTTAAATAATTAATTATAATTTTGAAATAAATATACCACTTTTAGTAATAATTTTTCCTTAAGCCATTTTATATAAATAAAATATTTTTTATTATTTTAATTTATTTTTCTAGCATAAAAATATTTATTAAATACTAAATTAATAAAATAATAATGAGTTGATAAACAAGCTATATGTCATATTAAAAAAATAATAAACAAGCTAATAAGTTAATTTTAAACTTTTAATCAAATTAAACAACTTTTTAAATTTTTTGAAGTTGAATTTAATCTTTAAATAGGCATATGTCATACAGTTGACCATAGGCCTTCTACTCAATTATATTCATGCTAAAATCCCAAAGTTTCTTTGCCAAATCAGCGTCTGTTGCTTGTGAGCTTGCTTTAGCCAAATTACAATCTGAAAAATACTCACCAGTTACTTCCTTCACTTGTGGGTGCAATGCTACATAGCATGTTGTTGCTGCTCCCTATAATGAGATTGAAGAAAGGTGAGAAGTGAGAATTACAAGACACAAATTAATATATTTTTAAAAATTCTCTTATAGATTAAATGCATAATTAAGAATGCCCCAAGCTTGTTTATTCAATAAGTCAAACTAGGTTAAATCACCTGTTGGATGCTTTTAAGCACATACTTTCCAAGCAGTTCAATTAGATCTGCATGAACCAAATAGAAACATAACCACAAAACTCAGGAATTGTCATCATATGCATGGAAAAATACCGACTAAGATAATTCTATTGGCTATATGGAAATAGTTTCAATGCAATGCAATGCTTAAAACATTGTTGTTGTTCAGCATGTCTAAATTTAATATTCAAAAGAGGGCAAACATATTCAACGTAAATATTATTATTTTTCTTTTACAAAATATAGGATTAAAACACTTAGAACTATATTGTGTATTTTTCTTTACTTTTCTTTTGAGTAATTCAGTTGGTTTAAAATGCAATGAGCTTCTATATCTGTCTGTGGGTGGATGGCATCCATTTACTATATATAAGATACATCAATAAATTATTGACACTTTATTTAATAATTTTCTGCAGAACTTGAAAATTCAACAAATTTATTGGTTAAATTATGTGATATTATTTTAATAATTTTGGGTATCAAGTTTTAGAAAAACTTTAACATCTACAAGTGTGTTATTTTATAGTTAATATTTATTTGTATTTTGAAAGTATAATATCTATCTAAACAAAGTTAATTGATGAAAAATTAACTAATTTTTAAGTTGTTTAAAATTTTATAGACTTGTCTATTTAAAGAAAATTTTCAATTTAATAATTAGATTAACAAAATTTAAAATCTATAAAATATTATTAAATAGAGTAAAGATATCTCATATAATATCCTCCATATTGGATGGATTAAGCAGAATGCTCATTGAGTATCCCAAATCACAGGATCTTCATAATTCCTAGATAAACCACAAATTCATATGAATGGTGGAATGTGTTAGTTACCAGCTGGAGGATAGCCACCATGCATAGGATTATAAATATTAGTGATAATGGCTCCCGGATGAAGAGAATTTGCTGTAATATCTACCCCATCTTCCTGACCATAATGCAAATATCAATATTAGGTATATCATAAATCCTTAATGAGGCAAAATATCAAGACCACCGTTACTCACAAACAAAAGAAAATAAAAGTCATCATATAATAGAAGAGAGAAAATAATGATAAAAGTAAACAAAATGAAGTTATGAAATTATTATTAATGTTGCTATTGTAGTTACCAGCGAATAACTTCTAGATGCAATGCATAGTTTTAGCATTTCCAGAAACATTAATGGAGGGCAAAAAGTAGTCATTAGTTAGTAGTCAAACAAACATTTTTAAATAAGCATTCATAAATAAAAAAATTATAAAAAAAATATTATAAATATTAAGATTATAAAAGTGTAATAAATTATTTTTATTAGTTATTTATTTTCAATTCTAAAATTGAGGTTAACATTGTTCGATCGTAAAAATAAGTTACAACTAATATGTAAGCAACCAACGTTTCCTTCATGATCAATAAAATATAGGCATTGGAAATTAATATAGTATTGCGCTGAACACAATGATTGCCAATTGAAAGAATAATTCTAAAAATCACACAAATAATCCCCTAGTTCGTGATAAAATACTAGAATTTCTTAGAGCACAATGAACATTGCGAATGAGATATAAGAACAAAGTTGGCATATATTTGATGCATGCAACCTGACGATACAAAACCAAACAAATTTAGAACAAGCTAGATTGAACAAACCAAAAAGTTCATTGGTTCACAATCAACTGTCTCAAACAGATTCAGCATTAAAACTAGATAAACTGAAAATTTGGTGTTAAAATAATAAAATATAAGGTCAAGAATAATGCTAGCAACATTCATTTAGAAGCACATTCTTTGACACATTTCTTGTAATTGATTAGTTTTTAAAAAATCAAAGTAAGTTATTTTTTAAAAAATAATTTAAAACAAATGCTTTGACTTTTTATAAAATTGACCAATAATAAAAACTATATTCAAGAATATATAAAAAAATGTTACGTTTATTATAAGATTAAATAATAATGATATACACATCTAGTAGCACTAATAAACACATTGAATAAGAGACCTAATCTTAAAACATTTATGAAAACTTGGAAGACAATGAAACAACCACATGGAAGTTCAAGGAATCTATTTCTTAGAAATTAGTCAAAAATTTAGATAAATTAATTGAAGATCATTGTCCCAACTTTTATCACTAGCCTAATTAGCTACAATGTAGCATTTTTGTAAAAGAGAAAAAAAAAACCTACTTCTTTTCCTCAAAATAATGGGTTAATAATTTTACACTTTAATAAATGATGGCATACCTTAAGTTGTCTTGCAAGTTCATTGGCATGTAAAATGTTAGCAAGCTTTGATTGTCCATATGCGCGCCACTTTTGGTAGCTATACACAAGGAAGAACATAGTAATAATAATAATAATAATAATAATAATAATAATAATAATTTGACATTATATTTATAATAAATTATATTTTCTACCTTTAATGTTGACATTTTATCACGAAACTCTTATTTTAGTTAAAAAAAATACTAAAAATACTTAAAATATCGTATCTAATTCTTATCCTATTATTTATATTCTCCCTCAAATACTACAAGAATTCTGTATGCATGCATTAACTTAGTTAATGCCATATGCAACTAAGGATTACATGACTATATGAGACAATAGCTATATCCACGTACTACATTAAAATAGAGTAACACAAACTTCTATTAACAATAATCACTTCTTTTTACTATAATTGGACAAAAACTAGAGTTGAATTTCAACTGGTAACAAAATGGAGTCTCTAGAATAACATGTGTTCAGGCTACATCTTACCTTGATTCATCACTAATTTTATCAAAAAGGATTCCTTCAGGATATGTATATTGGTGACCATCAGAAGTTACATTAATAATCCTTCCTTCTTTCTTGCTTTCAGTTGTTGTTTTCTTCATAGTATCCAACAAAAGATTCGTTAAAAGAAAATGACCTGTGAAATTATGATGAATAAATACAAAAGAGTTTAGATTAATTTAATTTATATTAAAGAAATATTTGAAGTTTTATATATAGACTACTGTCGAGTTACATAAAGTGATAGTGAGGTAGATCATGATCACAGAAAAACTACACATAGACTAATGTATTAATAATTGCCTCTTCTCCTTCGTAGAAAGAGAGAGAAGGGTACTTTCTCATGTATATACTGCAACAAATCAATAGTACCAGCACTGTTTCATCCTTCAATTCTTTACACAAGAAAGAAAATAGATCACGCACTCTAACACTCCTAAATAAAACTATTTAACAGTGTTTGTATTTCTCTCTCTCTCTCTTTTCCTTTTACTCTAGAAAGCTCATTAAACATTCCATGTTAACAAATATCATACATTCATAACATACCTAAGTGATTTGTGGCAAATTGTAGTTCAATGTTGTCTTTCGATAGCGTGAAAGGAGTTGCACAAATTCCTGCATTGTTTCTTAAAATTTCAAAAAAAAAAAACATATCAATACTCTTGTATTTCTTTGAATGGTCAAAATTAAGGAATATACATGTGTAAGAGAGTCTGACAAGAGTGTGGAATAATACAGAGTTAATTATTATTTGTTGAAATTCTAGAGGATCTTATACAAATTTTAATTACTAATAAAGAGTGTATTAAAAAATGTTAGTTTTTCTCAAATAACAATATTATTGTAAACATTATTGAGTAATAAAATAAAAAATATTACTAACAACGTAGTTTTTAATATAAAATTTGTAACATGTTTTTTATTATTATTTAAAATTTGATAGTTTTTTGTGTATGTGAGATGAGTAAGATAGTTGAAATATGTTAGTCAAAATAGTTAAAAATGATACTTGAATAAGTTTTAGTAAGATACTCAAGAGATGAAGAATTGATAGCTTGATTACTTCTTTTATAATGAGATAGCATGAGTATTTATAGGCATCCTCCACCATTATGTTTGGATAATTTTAATATTATAATATTTACAATATACTAGAACAATCTCTAGAAATATCTTAAAACTAGAATATTCAAATAGTTTTTCCTAAATTGTTTCTATTATTTTTTTTAGACTATTCTAGAAATTTGTATCAATTTCTAATACTCTTTCTTGATATAAATTTCTGTAACTCCAAGCATCGTGCGTAACTGTTCAAATTTTAGTTTTGGTACTTTAGTAAAAATGCCTGCAACTTGATCTTTAGTTTTTCAGTACTTGAGCTTGATTTCTTTAGTTTTTTCTGCTTTCCTGATAAAGTGGTATTTGATTGCTATGTATTTTGTTCTGCTATGATACTAGTGATAGTTTTTGTTGCGATAATATTTTTCCATATGTCCAAATTTCTTGCAGTGTCAACATTGTGATTTTTCACAATACCAACATTCTTCTTCAGCATGATTTGTCCTCTTATAAATGCCGCATGGAGGATATTTATCTTGATTATTTCTAGAGAAATTTCTAGAATTCTCTTTGTTTCTAGAAGTTTCTCCATTATTCTTTCTTCTTTCATTCCCTTTATTCTAATACCGTAATTTGAGCTTTTATTGAAAGGCGTTTTCAATTGAGTCCTTATCATGCTTTTTCAACCTTTGCTCGTAAGCTTCAAGGGACTCTACCAACTTTGTCAGTGACAGAGTAGATATATCCTTTGTTTGCTCAATATTAGTCACAATTGGATCATATTTACAAAGAACTGTGATTAATAATTTTTCAATAACTTTTTTGTCAAAAATATTTTTTCTGTAAGTTCTCATTTGGTTAACTATTTCTTTTATTTTAGAATAGTAATTCTTGATGGTCTCAACCTCTTTCATTTTTAATAATTTAAACTATCGCTGTAGAGTTTAGAGTTTTATAGCATGTACAAAGCTTCAAACTCCTCCTGTAGCATACTTCATACGTCTTTGGCTGTTATAGCACCCATTATTTTTGAAAAAATTGCTTCATCATAACTTGTTATAGAGTAAACAAGACCTTCAAATCATTTTGTTTATTGTTCTTCAGTTCTTTTTTTTGAGCTGCAGTAAGGGATGATATGTTTATGGGAGTAGTGAATCCTTCTTCCACAACATCCCACAAATTTTGGAAGGTGAAATATGTTTTCATTTTTATACTCCAAAAATCATAATTTTCACCATTAAAAATAGGGATGGGAAGAGATGATGGTTGAGTAGTGCTAGTCATGGGTTAGAAAAATTTTGGAAGTAGTTTATTTTAATTTTAGAATAGTATGGTAATATTTCTATGCCCAGTAGATGACTAAACGTAGCTTTGATGTCACTGATAGTTTTTTGTGTAGGTGAGATGAGTAAGATAATTAAAATATGTTAGTTGAAATAGTTAAAAATGATAGTTGAAGAAGTTTTAATAAAATTCTTAAGAGATAGAAAATTGATAACTTGATTACTTCTATATGACTTTTACAATGAGATAACATGCCTATTTATAGACATCCTCCCACCATTATGTTTGGATAATTTTAATATTATAATATTTACAGTATTGTAGAACAATGTCTAAAAGTATTTTAAAACTAGAAGATTCATATGATTTTTTCTAGATTGTTTCTAATATTTTTTTTATACTATTCTAGAAATTTGTATCAATTTCTAATAAAATTTATAAAATTATCTAAGTTTTAGTCCTTATTTAATTAATGTGTTATTAGTCTTCTAAAAAGTGTGTTACTAACGGTAAAATAAATGTGAAAACTTTGACGATTAATGTATTCTTACATCAAGATGTTTATGGGAAGATCAGATGATATGAATTCTGATGCAAATTTCCGAACAGATGCCATTGAGCTAAGATCTAACTCCATGACATCGACTTTAGCTGTTGGAATCTCTTTAAGTATTGCCTCTTTAACATCATTCCCAGCAATCATATTTCTCACTCCCATAATCACATGAACACCACGCAAAGCAAGAACTCTTGCAGTCTCAGTGCCAATGCCATGGGTTGTTCCTGTTATTAGAATGTCCGAAAAAAAAAAAAAAGAACACAATTAAGCAGCACTCGTTGATACTAAAAACATATCTATCAGAGCATACCAAGTTAACAAAGACGAGAAAAAATTAATTAATTATATTACAGAAATAAAAACTATCCGTAAACCTTAACATTTTGAGATTTTCATGGATTTCTTCCAAGTCTATCAGGGATGATAATGAATAAAGCTTAGATAAAATATTATAGTATCCATCTTTGTACATATATTTTAAAAATTTACTTAGTTATACATGCATTTTAACAACTTTCATCTTTCACTCGTTAATTACTTAAATTTCCCTACTTATCTTTGTTACTTAGAATTTGCTAACTAAAATACAATATTTTCAATTTTTTTACAAACTAATAAAACATAAATATCATTATAAAATAAAAAATTAATAAATATATAGAGACACACACTATCATACACCCACTTAATTTTTTAAAAAGTATTGTAACAAGTTACAACTATAATTTTCTTAAAATACTCCAAAAGCGTAGGTTAATAACTTACTCTAACTAAAAATTTAGTAAATGTATGTTAGCACTCATAATTGTTAATATACACTTGCTTAACAGAATTAATGTTAATAAATTATAACTTTACTTTTTTAAATACATCTAAAATTATTCTTTTAAAAAATAAATAGATGTATGTTAATAAACTTCATGCATATTATGTTAGTTGTGAACAGGTATTTTTATTTGGAACAGGATTTTTTTCCGTAATATGACCCTTATATTCTGTATTTTTCATTTTTATTCTTAAATAAAAATGCAAAAATAGACATGTTTACTATCCTTTTTATCTGGTGCACATGTATAACAAGACTTATTGCCGTCCACCAAACCCCTAACTACTTTATGCTTATCGCCTTTGCATTAACTGAGTTCTAAGGACAATATAGGGAGGCAACCAAATATTAATAAATGTCGGAACGTACATGGCCCCATGTTCATTTTAAATTATAATATAATATTTTTAAATGAGTTTTTAGTTGAATTTTTAAAATAAATAAATATGGTTAGGATTTTAAAAAGAAATTTTGAAAATAAATAAGTATTTTTTGTTAAGTAATCCCAAGTTTTAATCACTTAGTTAATTTTTTTAATAAAGCAATTTAAACATAACTAATAATTTTTGCGTGTATTACATGAGTATCATTAAATATTATGACATTTTAAATATAAATTATGAAAAAATAAAATTTATATTATTAATGAATAAAAACTAAATATATAATGTAAAGAAAATTATTTGATATGATTTAAAATAAAGTAATCCCTACAAACACACTATTGTTTAAAGATATTTCGAAAAACATTCTCGTTTAAAAATTATCTTATAAATGTTATCGTTCAAGAATTATAATTTATATATAAAATTTTAATTTTTCATGTTCATCTTATGACTTTTTTCTTTTACACCTCAACACTTATCATTTTTTTTTTTTATTTCTCCGGTCGTTTCACTTGGAGTATATACTTTCTAAAAGGTATCAAATGATTATTATTCATTTAAACATCCAAGTGATCCAACAGACGATAATGCAATTTTATCTTAACATTCATCGCTTTTTTCCATTTAGGAAAATTAATTATATAAAGTATTCATGAGATATAGTTTTCTTTTTCAATTTAATCTTCAAAAATTCTAATTCTGGTGGGAGAATCGCACCAACAGGACTTTAAATATACTTAAGTTTTATCCTTTATATTATGATTGCGTTTGGCAAAAGCAAATAAACTAAGTGAAAGCTGAAAAGCTAATTAGAAGTTCAAAACTAACTAAAAGTTGAAAAAATAGTTTATTGAATTAAAAGTGTTTGGTAAGCTAAACAGGTTGTTAAGCTAATTAATAATGTAAAATAACAAATAAGAGCATCATAACTAGGTAGATCAAAATTTGAAATTTAATAATTGTTTTTTATAATATATCATTTTCATATTTTAATTTATTTACAATTAGTCATCAACTTGAAATTTAGATAATAATTAAGTTTTTGATTGCACACTTTTACAAATATCTTATTATAAAAATAAAATTGAATGAATATTACACCTTTCTCAAAACATTAACATGTTATTATTTTTAAATGATGAATGTTGTGGCTTTTATTTATTTTCATTATTTGTGACGATTTTTGTTATTTTCAATGTAGCAAACGTAAAAACAATGATTTAAGAAATTGAATGAGTAAAGTAAGAATTATTTAAAAATAATAAGGACAAAAATGACAAAATCACTTTTATCTAGTAGCTGAAATAAACTATGTTAATTTTTTTTAAGACAAAATAAACTTTCAGCTAATATGTATACACCCTTACTAGCTATATAACCTCAAAATATAAAAAATAAAACAACTAAATGTAAGGTGATTCGGTGAGGAGATCACATTAGGAAAATTTACAATCTATTGGGATATTCCACAAAGGATTTTTCTATTTAAGGCTATTAATTGATAGCTCCTAGATGACAACTTAAAATAAGAAAAAAAAATGAAAAGGAGTATTGAGAAGTAATAATTAATTTAAAGAGATAAACATATGACTTATTACCATAAAAATTAAATTAAAAGATAGATTATATATATGACTTTACCTAATAATCAAAATTGTCTCTTAAAAACCTAATTGACTTTTGTTGAATTTTTAAATGTAAGTGATAATAATTAGGGTCAAGTATATGATTCAATTCGGTTCGTGTTTAGAAAACAACTGAATGCTCTGTCAAATGAGTTGTACTCAATTCGCTTGAGAAATAAAGACTCCTGAAATTATGGGTCTGTGTTTGATCTATTAGCTTCCAAGTTAGTGTGGACCAGTCCATTTAATTGCTGAAGTATATTAAGATATTTAATTGTGTGCGAAAAAAGTACAAATAAATATAAATAATAAATTGTGTATAATTTTTTTTAAAAAAAAGTTGACTTGTAGCTTGACCTGTTAACTCGCTGAGTCAACTTATTTAACTTAAAATTTGAATTAATTGAGCCTAAAACTCACTTTAAAATAAGTATATAATATCATTGGTCTTCATCCATTTAATCCGCAACTTATAGTTCAGCCACAGGCCTGGACATATATATCCAACTTTAATAATACTAATTCATATGATATGGTGAGAGAATAATTCCTAAATTAATGTATTAGAAGTAAATAAAAATTAAATATATAAGAAAGATAGTCATCATAAGTCTAGAATATTAAAGCATTTTTTTAAAATATAAATGAATTAAAGCAAGTAAAAAAATTCCATATAACAAAGAATAATGGGACTAAAGTATTAAGATATTTTTAACTAAATAGGCCACTCAAATTAAATACTTATTATTTATTTTCTCCCACACTTAGACATAATATATAAGTTAATTAGACTTGAAAATATAACAAGTAAGAGAGAAATAAGTTTAAAGCGTTTTAAAATAAATAAATCATTTAAACTGAAAAGTTTATCATATAACTGATATTTTTCTTATTCTTGAACATGGCCTTTAACATTTGTAAATGTGTTTTTGAATAAAAAATCACATTGATGATGGCTCAAAGATGAATAATAATAATTCACTTATTACTTACTAAATAACCATTACTTATCAATAAGAGATAAGAGATCATTTTAATAACACGTGTAATTTGAGTGCTAAACAAAGTTATATGATTTTTACTCTAATTAAAATAAGGGTCTTTTTTAATAATTTAACCATTTTATCATGAAAAAATATTAGTCTTTAACGATCTTTGACATTATTTTTACTTAAAATAAACCATTGAGAAAAATGAAATTTTTAAAATTTTAGTTTGAGAGAATTCAAAAGCTTTAACTAATTTATATGGTTTTTTAAATCACTCTACTAATCTTTCAAAAAGTTAAGCACTTATAAAAGAAATTTCTCCTACAATATTTTTTTTTTCTATGCAGAGAAAAATAAAGAAAAATTAAATGAGTTTATTATTGCACACTTAAATTTGTTACATATTATATGAAATTATAGATATTTTATTTAAATAGTTTTAAAATTTTTATCTCTTCCAAATCTTTCACTTTTGGATGATCGTTAAAGTTGAGTGAAGAGAGATTACTCTCTCCCATTCTATTCCTTCTAGAATTCTAAATCAAACATTAAAAAAAAATTATCTCTCTTTTTACTTTCTTCAAATCAAACGCTTAAGTAAGGGAGAAAAGGCTTGGTATCCTTGTGTAAAAGCATGTACACTAAACAAACTGTATGTGGAAGAGGATAAGCCTCAATTTGTGTGGACAAAATCTTTCAAGCAGAAAATGAAATATAATTTGTGAATCAACAAACATGGAGAGAGCATGGAAAGAACAAATACTACATATCTTGAAAATGAAAAACAGTAAGGAATATGACCTGTGACAATTGCAGTGAGGCCACTTCCATCGACACCTTCAGTTACTTCCTCTGCAGTAGAAGATAATGAAAAACCAGAAGAACCCATATTCTGTGTGTGTGTGTTTGTGTGTGTGAATTGTACTTATTAAGTGTTAATTGCCGTCTTATTGAATGCAAGAATACCAACTCTTCAACCCACTTGATTGGTCCAAGTGACGTGTTTTTCCTTGTTGGACTAATGTTCATTTTATTTAGAGAAACGTTCACGGAACATTCTTTTTACCAATTTTATAAAAAGATATAAAAATAGAAAGATAATAGAGCATTAAATAACCAAATAAAATGATATATAATATTGTTGTTATTACAAGATTTTGTTATTGCGAAAACTATTTAAGGGATGTGTCGTGAGAATATCGCCACTTGTCTTTCGGCTTTGGAATCGTTCATTTCTCATTTGTTTGGTACGTGTTTGTCCCTGTGCCAGCGGCCGGCTACTGTGCTTTTGGCCTCGAATCGTCGTATAATAATTTCATTAGTAAAAACTAAAATTGAAAGGGACACTTTTTAATTTTTTTAAAATAATAATTACTTTAGTTCCGAAAATTTTAAAATATAAGATACTTTAATACTGATCGATCAGATAAAAAGATTAAACTAATATTATTTATAATCGATATCTATTTATCTATATCGATATTTATTTATGTATATGAATGAAATTAACTATGGTCATAAGAAAAAAGTTAGCTCAATCTAGATCTTTAGGTATTCTTAAACCTAGTGATAAGAATGAAGAATACTAATCTAGATCTAAATTTGATATTATGAAAAATTTTAATTTGAATCAGAGCAAGATATACTTTCGGAAAATTCTAATGAGACTAATCAAACTGATCATGTAAATACTGAGAAAGGGGTAGAATAAATCCACCAAATTTAAATCTTTAAATAAGAACAATGGTGAATCTAAAATGAGGAATTTGTCTAAGAAAACTCATAAACCTAAAACTAAACTTAGAAATGATAAGTAAATTGAGGATAAGGAAGTTCATCCCCAAGATGAAGGATTAAAATCCCCTAATAATAAAAGTCTAACTCAATTTACAAATTCTCTAAACAAGAATGGTACCTTTTTCTAATGAGGAAATTTTAATATGAACTTAATCATAATATCTCCAAGGTAGTTCCATTTAAAATAAGTTAGGATTAAACTATAGAAAGAATTGGTTTTATCCAAATATTAAGGAAGGAAATGCTTCTCACACAACTCTTGACATAGGCCCTCACATGAATCTTGATAATACTAAAGCTCATATTTAGATATAAATAATTCTCCTAATGGATCACAATAGTAGAGTCCAGCTTAGTCAGAATCCTGCATTTTTAGGATGCAGTATAAAATCTTCTTAATTTATATGAATTGTGTTTTTTTAGAACTGTAGAGGCTAATAATAAATTTTGATCTAATTGCTATATAAATTACTTTAATAGTCCATGTAATATATTATTATTTTATTTCAAAATAAATATATATAATTTAATGATTAAAGAATAAATTTTATATTTTGTAAATAATTATATATATATATATATAACAAAATTACTTTAATTTAACTCTATAAATATGAATAAAATGCATTAAAATAATAAAAATTTAATATTTTTATAATATATTTTATTTCAAATATTTTTATCATATAGTATCAATAATTTAATTAAATATTAATAACCATAAATTTAAGAGATAAGACTAGTAAAAGTAAATTTCAAATTTGAAAAATTAAAAAAAGTTGAAGATAATCTTTATAAATGTAAAAATAGGTATTTGTAAAAAATATATAATTTTATATAAAGTAATAAGAGAAGCTTAAATAACAACTTTAATCTTCAAAATTTTAAAACAATTAATAAATATGTCAAAAAAATGAAATCATCACAAAAAAAAGAAATATAATTGGGTAAATTTATTATAATATTGTAAATTAAAAAACAATTTATTATTTTATAGCAAATCTGAAACAATTTCTTAATCTGAAGTTTTTTTGCCACGTGGATCAATTTTTCGCCATAACGGCTGGCGAAAGTAATTAATTTTTGAATTTTTTAAACGAAATATGACTTCTTAGAGCGGTTAGTATAAAACCGCTCTCATAACTCTATTTTAGAGAGCAGTTCCTTATGAACCGCTCTCATAACTGTATTTTAGAGAGCGGTTCCTTATGAACCGCTCTGAAATTTCAATATTAGAGAGCGGTTCCATTTAAACCGCTCTCAAAAGTCATGTTAGTCATGGATCTTCTGGCCCGGGATTAATAACCCTACTTTGTTGTGAAGATGATGTCATCTATACAACAATAAAAAATATTAGTAAAAAAATTTCATTCAATAATAATAATAATAATTTATATTTTACTAACATATTAATAATACATATTTTATAAAGGTCAAACAAATTTTCTAACAAATCATTATCACATTGTAATGACATCATATTATATTCATTACAATATATTATAAATGCAAAAATCAAGTGTATATAAACAAAATTAAATAAACAAATTCTTTTTAAATATACTAACATATATTCTATACATATTATAACTAAAGATATATAAATTTTTAATTATTCTAAATACAAATCTACATAAATTTTACATACAAATTTTATATAAATACAAAACTCTAATTACTAGCATAAAATTAAATTACATTTTAATTTTTTCATATTTCCAATTTAAATCTACATAAATTACATTTAATTTATAATTATATAAATACTATTACATTTTTTAAAGTAAAAAATATTATTATTTACATACAAATTTTATTTAAATACAAAACTCTACTTACTGCATAAAATTAAATTACATTTTTATTTTTTTATATTTCTAATTTAAATCTAAATAAATTTTATATAAATACAAAACTCTAATTACTAGCATAAAATTTAATTATATTTTTATTTTTTTATTTTTCTAATTTAAATTTACATATATTACATTTAGTTTATAATCATATAAATAATATTACATTTTTAAAAGTAAAAATTTTTATTATTTGCATACAAATTTTATACATATATTTCATATAAATTATGATTACTGTATTTAAAATTTTACAATTTTAAAATTTTACTTCATTATAGGTGTAAAAATTATTTATTACAATCAAACTAAGTATAAATTATTATATTTAGTTTTATATAATTATTTTATTTAACTCAATTTTTAGTTTTATATAATTTTATTTAACTCAAGTAAACTATATTTAGTTTTATATAATTACAATGCCTGAACGGTTTCGCTAACTGCAGGGCGAAATAAACTTTCGCCAGTAGTAGCGCGAATCATCTTAGATGTTGCCACATGTATCAAAATCTCCCCAACCGTCCATTTTAAATCTAAGAGAGCGGTACCGGCAGGACCGCTCTCTAATATGTACGTCTGAGAGCGGTTCCATATGAACTGCTCACTAACATGCCTTTTGAGAGCGGTTCAAATGGAACCGCTCTCTAATATTGAAATTTCAGAGCGGTTCATAAGGAACCACTCTCTAAAATGGAGTTATGAGAGCGATTTTAAACTAACCGCTCTAAGAAGTCATATTTCGTTTAAAAAAATTGATCCACGTAGCAAAAAAACCCCAAATTGAGAAATTATTTCAGATTTGCTATAAAATAATAAATTATTTTTTAATTTACAATATTATAATAAATTTGCCATATAATTGACATATCATTCTCAATCAAGCGAAGGAGAGTAACTTCACTAATACTTAACTTTATTTTTATTTATAATATAGAAGTTGATAATTTAATGTGATAACTTTTTTTTATATAAAATGAAGGTAATTATTTAAAATTATTTTCATAAATTTTAAATATTATAAAAATTTTATTTATTTTTTAATAACAATAAATACTTTGAAAATAATGAAAGAAAAAATTCAAAAAAAAAATTAAAGTCAACAAAGAATGTAATAATTAAAATAATATTCTAATTTTATTATTTTTATTTATAAAGTTTATAATATAACATAAAGAGGAAGGTGATTTTGAATAACTTTATTTTTATTTTATTTTTTTATATTTACAAGTTGAGAAAAAAGATAAATTTAAAATTTTAATATCAAAATAAAAAAAATAAGTTTCTTAAATGAATCTTAACTATAGAGCTATCAAATTTATTATAAAAAAAAGATATAAATCATAAATTTATAATGTGCTATAAATATTTCTTGAATTATATAATAATTTAAAAAATTAAACTATTTTTATTACATTATTATAAAGGTATTTTTAAAATTTTGTAAAATTTTAAAAAATGATTAATATTTTCATGTTTTTTCAAAAAAATTAGTAGTTACGTTATTATATATTTAGCAGAAGTGATATTTTATAAGACATTAAATAATGCTTAGAGAGATGAGACAAAGGCTTGTGAAAACAAGTGTATGTTTATTTCAAAATGATGGATATAGGTTCTTTTTAATTGTAGTAAGTGTAGTTTTTTTTTACTTTAATAAAAATAGATTCACTTAAATAAAAAATAATATATATATATATATATATATATATATATATATATATATATAAATTACGCAACCTTCTTTTTTTCACTCTAATCTCTTTCCTCTTCTCCAATCGCAACTTCCTTCTTCTCTTATATTCCAACTCTTCTAACCTCTTCCCTACCCATACTTAACTCTCCCAACCCTTCTCTTTCTAACTCTTTATTCCTTATACCCACCTATTCTCCCCCCTCTCACTCCTTCACTTCCCGCTCTCAACCCCTATCTCCCCTTCCATCTCCCATTGTCCCTAACTCAACCCTTCTTCCCCACCTCCACCCTATCCAGTCCCCCTTCCCCTAACTCTTTTACCCCTTCTCACTATCCTTAGTCAAACCCTCCTTCCCTCCTTAACCTTTTTTTCTCCTTCTTGCTGTCATTAGCCTTTCATATGCTCTTTTCCTTTCCAGGTACATTAAAGTTAGTGACAATACAAAATTTGCTTAAGTGAATTTTGTGTAATACTATTTTGGCATTTTCTTAAAATTCTTTTAACTGAATTCATTTTTACTTAAGCAAAAACTAAATTGGATATCTAATTTTTGTCATGACAGGAGAGAAT